AGAGAGAGAGAGAGAGAGAGAGAGAGAGAGAGAGAGAGAGCACTGGCAACTGGCCCACCTACAGACAGACAGTAGTGCCATTCCTTGGTCATTACCTTGCTACCTAATTGTAAACACGCACGTAAGTATGCACACACAAATTCAGACGGATCAACCCAGTGGTCAATCTCAGCAGATGGGAAAGGATGACCCCCCCCCTTGCCCCTTGCTGACAACATAGTGCTCATATCTCGACCACAAATCCAACCAGGGCATGTCTGTCATGTCACCCACCTGGTCTCCGGTGAGGTGACAGGCGGCGAGGTTCTGCTCCTCAAATGACGAGGCAGAGCGGACGTATTTGAGCCAGCTGCTGTTGGTGGCATCCGGGCCTGTGTCCAGCGCAAACTTGACGTTGCCCATGTCACCCACCACCTGTTAGAGAGCAAGAGGTCAGATATTATTACAGGGACAAAACAACAGGCTATCGTCAACTATCAAACACTTGAAATATTTCTATAAATGACTTTGTCGGAGGAGGATATTGGCATTTAAAAATGCAATTGTTACGGTGCACAGAGATTTTGGGTAAATTGTTTTCTTTCATTTGAAATGTACTATTAACTAGTAGGGAGCATACAGTTGGCATACACATGGTTTGTATTAACGTTAGCACTAACCCGGTGGTTGACAACAATTAAAGCAGAGACAAAAAACACTATGTCTGCAACAAAACAAAGGCAGTGAGGTGCACCTCACGCCTCTGTCTGATCAGGGACTAAGAAAGTTGTGAGTCTGTCAGTCAACTTTAAGACACAGAGGCAATGTGTCAGTGGGTGTTAGGACCACCTTACCTTGTCAATCCCAACAACAAGAAGAGGAAAGAGGGAAAGGATGAGAAAGGAGGAGGGAGTGGACAAACTGGGGTTTCTTTCACTTGTCTAAAGACTTTCTCCGGCACATATTGATCACCCTTTGTAACCCCTACGCCCCCCTGAGACTCCAAGAGCGGGTTTCATGTTACCCGCTTCAACGGAGAATGAAGGAGGATGGAGGTAGAGGTGAAGGAGGAAGAGGAGGAGAAGAGAAGAGGGGTTTATTGTGGAGAACCAGGAAGGAGTAACAAAGCTTTATGCCTAAAATCTCAATCCTCCCACAATTGTAAATTATGAATGATGACAATGAGAGAATGAGAATGAGAATGAAGAAATTTGCCAAAGGAACAGATATCCGACAACTATTACAGACTGCAAAAGAGACAGCATACCTTTTAAAGGCCATAAATAGTCTCTACTCTTTGCTCCTTTGATTGCATTTGTGTGTGTATTGGTATGCGAGTGTGACGGACTTCGGCGGTTCCGTAAATCTGGGGGCGGCTCGGCTGAAACCCCGAGGCCCACTCTCTCTCCACCCAGCTGGGGGTGAAGCTCCGATTTCGCTGCAGCACCGCATGTGATACTGAGCCTGTGTGAATCCTCAGGGGAGAACTGGCCTGAGACAGAGCAACTCCTCTAATTACAACTCCCAATCAGCCGGCCCCTGCGTTGAGAGCTGACCTCTAGCTTGACTCTCTGCGTTCCTAATCACAGTCAAATGTCTGCTGTAGGAAATCGAGGTGTGATGGAGAAGAACCAACAAACCTGACGTTTTTAGATGTGCAAAGTTCGTGAACCTCTCTAACTGGCTGCTTTTCTAAAGGCATGTTCAGGTTTTTTTTTTTTTCCCAGCTCGTAAAGTGTGAATGGTCATGTTCTTGTTGTTTGGGTAAGCGCTTGCAGAAGGTGTATTTTCGTGGGTGGGGGTGCAGGTGCCAAGTTTGGTGAGTAAATATGTAAAGGTTGGAGGTGTGGAAGAACTGCCATGTGCACGTTTGTACAAATACTGCAACCGTTTCAGGCAAATGCATGTGCGCTTAGTTGAGTTAACATCTCGAAGTAACAGAAATGTTTCTACTTTTGAGCCAAGGTGTGAGTTTATCGTCCTCACTAAATGTGCCTGTTGCAGAATAACAAAGCCTCTTAGGGCATTGGTTAAAAATAATCAAAACCGTAATCTTTGTTTTGATCCACAATAAAAAAAAACTGTGGCGACTGCTCATGTTCATGTACAGTATTTGCTGATTGTGAGAGTGGGAAAAGAGACCGTTAGTACAGTTCCTGTTTTGTATTTTCTGTAATTCACACTGAGATATTCAGAAGCAAATAATGAGATAATGTCCACTGGAAGAGCTTCTAAATAAAAACGGAATCTTATCCATTCCTCACTCTCCACATTTAAAGCTTTTGCCTCTTCTGCTTCCAGTTTACAACTTAAACAATCTGCTTGATCGAATCCAGATCTTTATTTTATGTGTGAAAACAGTCACCGAAAACTAACCAGGCATACCCCCTCCTAACACCTACTACTCCACCCAATATCTTTTCTGGAGGCAGAGTGCACTTGTCACGTTACTGCCGGGGAGCTGCGACAGGTATCGTACATGTTTTATGAACACACAGAAAAACTAAAATCCAGGTGGTGTCAAGGTGGGATTATTTCTTTTTTTAGGAGGAATAGGTGTGCGAAGGGAGGTGGGGAAGCCCGACAGTGCACAGACTGACCCGCACATGTATGAATACTACCATGCCTACGTTTTGGGCATGGTAGTATTCATGCACATGCATTTTGGTTACCCCCTCCTCCTACACACACACTCAAGGGTCTGATCTGAGGCTTAATGAGCTGCAGACCTGCGTGCTGTGTGTTTTTGTATGTGAACATGTGTGTGTGTGTGTGTGTGTGTTGTCTGGGAGGCCTGCTAACACCCTGTCTCCGGGTGGAAGCCTGATTTATAAGGCTTCAAATGAGGTGCAACAGAGAAGGAGAGCCAGAACAAGCCCACGGCTGATTGTTTGTTTATTTACCTTTCTTTTTCATTTTCCCCCCCTCCCTACGTCACGGGGGGAGGAGGACCCGGGTGAAAACCATCAGCTCCACAAGCAAAGGAAAGGGTTTCAACAAAGCAAACCAGGCAGTTTTTTCCCTTAAAGTTTTCTCTCCTCCTTCAGATCAGAGGCTAGAAACAGGAACTGTTATACTAAAGATAGGAGGAATGACGTTTTTAGAGTTAAATTATTTTCATATATATAATGCTTTAACAACTAGTGTCTATAACCACCTTGCATTGACACATTCTCATTCTGTTCATTTGGGCGACGACCTCCTTCCTCTCCATAATTAAAGGGTACTTTGGATCTCTTTTAGTTTTAGAGATTCTTATCAGAAATAACAAAATTCGCCACGTTAATTGCTGCAATCTGAGAATACGGCAGAATCATTAAAAATATGTTTGATAGGGCAATAAACACCAGCAATCAGACAATCAAACCAGTTTAAACAAACCCCAAAGTAAGCCGAAGTTGTTTGGAAGAGGAAATGAAGGCCAACATTAAAGATATTGCCCAAACTGCCCATTGTAAACATCCATCACATTTCCTGGTTCAATGTTGACCTACTGAACTTGCTGTAGTTGTGAGCGCACAGTTTCCTTGTGTACTGAGGTATTATTGTCAACATTTCAGGAGAGTTCACTTTTGGTTTTACCTCACCAGAGGGTACAATATTATTATAACTGATACAAATGATGGCAAAGCCCATGGAAGTAAAATCAAAGTGTACTAATTGAAGAAAATTATCCTTTAATGCCAGTAAAGAGAAGACACTTATTAATTATTGATACTTTCATTCACTTCTATATCACGGATATAAAAAACACATTTTAACCTATTTTTTTGGGTTCAACAGCATCAAAAAATGATTCACATGAGAGCACACACAAACATACACACACATATACACACACACACACACACACACACACATACACACGTACCAACACATGCATGCGTACAGAGACACAATGAGACTTCAGTGAAAGAGAAGCGGCCCTGAGTGGAGAGGATGCAGAGCAAACTCCACAGGAAGCTCTGATAAGAGCACAACACTTATATCGCTCCTCACAACACAAAGGGGAACCTTTGACAGCTAGGAACCTTTAATGGATGTCTCGGCATGCCCTCTCCACCGCCAGTTATATCTGATGGATGTGTGTGGCGTGCAGGGCTGAATTAATAGAGGAAAGTTGCTTGTACGGATAGACGTTGGTGACAAGGCACATATTATTTTTTGTTTGACGGAGGGCAGAAAATGGAAAAGGCAGCTCGGAGCACAGTGGTGGTTGTGATTTTGATGTGAGACAGAGATAGAAGCAGACATATATGTTATTAAAATATTTCTATGAAGTGTGATCTTAGTGCTTTGTTGCACTGTCCCGGGTTTCAATGTGTGAACACACCCACGTTCGCATGTATTTCTATATGTGCCTGTGATAGTTTCAAAACTCTTAAATTGTAGCAACTTCATTCTGACTTGTCTATACATGTTTTCCATGTTGTAAAATAAACAAAAGTTGTTGTTTTTTGTATTAAATGCTTCATTCGATTGATAAATCTGTGATCAGTAGCGATCAGCGATATTGCTTTGCCTTTTTCACATCAGAGGGTATCAAGACGAGCAACAATGGCCATCCATCTATGTGAAAGTCTAAGAGCATGCCTGTGTTGGATTCAGGTAGTCAAGTGTAATCACACAAAGCACATAGAAAAGGAGACTGTTTTTGCAACCAAAGTTTGCTGAAACATGTCTGCATTGAAGGTTTTTGCGGCCTGTCGAAAACAGGAGAGCTGACCCTCCCCTGGTTCCCTTACTCACGTTCCGCGGAAGTGGCCGACGAATTAAAAAAGGTTGTTTCAAACAGAAAGAGGAAAGAACAAGGGACAGATTGCCTTTCATTATGGCTCTGGTTTTTAATCTATCTAGTTCAAGAATATGTGAAAATGTGGAGAACGACCAGGGGGGTTGCATGCACTTCTCCTTGAAGCAGCTAGGGGGTAGCCTGGAGCGATATCTCTCCAGGTAGAAGAGCATAAATTGAAATTAACGTCCCCTTCCCTCTATGCAGCTGTACAAAACACAATATTAAAATGGTAATCAGAGTGAGACTTACATGCACACACAAACACACACTTTGTTTCACTCTGATGAGAGGGCCAGTCATGGAAACAGAGCAGTGACAGTGACAGATTGAGTGGCTGTGAAGTGGGCTGCGGAGCTGGTTGTTAGATGTGTTGCAAATTAAGGTGCAGGAAGACTAACAAGACATAAAGAAGTGTGTGTGAGAGTGTGTATCCTTTCTGGAAAAGGGTCTGTTTCCAGTTGGGAGGTCCCTTAACTTGCTCACACACACACCAATTACACACACAGGCGGACTAATAAAGCGGCTGAAAGATTACAGATCCTCACAGCCTCCCATGTGTTTGTGCACATTCACATGTATGTGTATGCGGGCCTGGCCTGTGTTTGATGGATGGGGGCCTGCAGAGATGACCCTACCCTGC